GACACCACTAAAGAAACACAACACGTGGGGAAAAACCAAAACAAAAAAAAGGTGAACAGAATACAAGGAAAACATACGAGTACACAACAATGTGAAAGATGGGTCGCCATTTGCTAGAGGATTAAATGGAATAGAGAATTCGGACAATGGGGTAGGTGAATGTCTGCAAGTGTTCATAGTTCTATGCCTTTCACTTATTGTATGCATAAATCACAAGCATATAGGCCTTAGGTAGGTCTCATATACAAGAATTACACACATTGCATGTACTGGATAAGTGACTGTCGCATATCAGTATCCTTATCTTAATTTTAACAAATAAAAGTAACTGTTTGTTCATCATGTGCACACTGTCACCTTACAACTCTGATACTGTTACATAAGCAGATACATTGCAGCAAGAGATAACAAAAATACAATCCCACACAGTAAAAATCATGTTGACATATATTTTAGGTCCTATAGATTAGTCCTTTCTCTCTATCAGCTAAGCCAAAGCATAATCAATGTGTAGAAGTGTGGGGCAAGGATAACAATTCATATGATTTGCAGATATGAAATGGACAGGTTTAAGAAAAATACCGATACACGATATATTGCTCCTTGAAGACGATTTTTCCATATTTTCCTTGATTCATAAGAATCGAAACGTAATATCACTGCACTGACATCTTCCAATACCTGCATAAGCATTAAAATAACTTGAGAGCACAATTCTCAGTACTAAAAATAGCCTGAGATAGTAATAGCTGAGGAACAATTCAGTATAGTAAACTTAGGCGTTCCTTGGAATTAGATTGCCCCGCTTCACAGAGAGCTAACATATTTGGAGTGCCACCAGTGAACTCTGTAGGAACTTGATATAGCTGTTTTCCTCGCAAACTGTTCAATGTTCATAATGAGAATTATACATGTAAATGACATGACTAAATAATTATCCATGTCCAAAAAATGTAAAAATAATTATCCATTCTGCAAAATGCAGAAATATTTATCGTTCCAAAAAAAATATGTGATAGTTTGAATGAAATTTGCGATGTTTGGTAAGGTATGCCAAAATGTATAAACATGAGACTGAATTTTTTTACACAATGGTGCAGGCTACTTATGCAATATTCCAACATGCTGCTTGATACCCGCTATTTAGCATAATGACATATGATTCCCGTTGATGTTGTGTTTCCAAGTATCGTACAGCTATAAACCTTTGTGCATATTGTATGAGTCAAAAGTGACATGTCCATCCTATCGAACTCAATGGCTTTAAATCACATTATTTTGGATCAGAATGATGAAATTACCTATTATCTCAATTGTCATTTCCATATAGAATCACAAAAAAACTAACATAATAAGGGTAGAAATATAAACGACAGATCAAAATATCATGGATTCTTACTTTGGATTAGAGATATACTAACTCTAACATGATTTGTGTTAAAGTACTATAAGCCTAAAATCGTTAATTAAATCTATTAGAATTACCCTCGAATAAGAAATGTATAATTCAACAATATCCAAATCCAGACTAAAAAGATACACAAACTAAACTAAAATGCAAGAACTGAATCAAGTTGGCTAACTTTATTGGTTCAAATTAAAATGAAAAAAATGGGGGTGCTCGAGTCAATCCCCGAGAGTTCTACATGAGTTATCGAACAATCTTGCAAAGTTTCAACACTCTAAACTAAAAGAAATTTGTGGAGGAAAGGGGAATTATCCTCCATAAATTTGACTATACAGAGATACAATATAATCCAATTCAACTATCTCAAGAAATAAAGAAAACTCAATTCAAAAGCTCTCTCAAATACGGCTTGATTCCCGTCCTTCACAAATAAAGTAGAACAAAATGCCTAATAACCGTTGATGAGCTGGATATTAGAAAAATGGGATTATGAAAACTAAATGGATACGGAGAGATTCAATATAATCGAATTCAACTATCTCAACAAGTAAAGAAATATGCAAGTCATGCTTACTCCGTAAAATAGTAGAAATATTTTTCTTATTCATAGTGCAAATTATTTTTAAAAAGACTATATTTATTATATCACTCTTATATTAGTGAACCTAAGATGTTACAAGGGACTATGATTAAAGGTATAAAATAATGTTTTCCACTATGTCTATAGTTCTTTAGTATTTTAAAATTAACCCCTCAAATCATTGAAATTGCAAACATGTCCCAAATTATTCTACGTTATATTACAATCACTTATGTTAAACTTGTTATTAGTCCTCCAATACTTATAAGTTGTTCAAATTTAATCAGTCCAATCAAATGTAACACAGCAAGATATAACAATCGGGGGATGTAATAGCAATTTCAATAATTTGCGAGACTATTTAAATAGATGAAAAGATGTCCTCAATCTATTTTACCTGGGTCCTTTAGACATGTAGTTGTAGGCTCATAACTATACCTGACACGTGTTGTACTCATACCCATACCCGACACTTTTTAGACACTCCTTAAATAAATGCATATATTTATTCAGATCTGTGCTCAATTATATAATGCATGTTTCATTTAAAACACTCTTTTTGACTATATATCCTACACTTGACATCCGTTTTTGTAACTTGTTGGATAAGGTTGAGTTCTTTTAGCCTTCAGAACTACAATTTAAAAGGGTTGTTTATATATATATTGCTTAAGAGTTATGATTATATCCCATGAGTTTTAGTTGTGCTCATGTACCCTACCTTCTATAAATTTATTGTTTCCCATACCCACACATGTGCAACTTAGCCTTTAATTGAATAAACAAGTGTTATATGCTGATACTATCTTCAATTATTTTTCAAAGTGTTAAATTCATATATATTTGTTGAAGTAAAAGAGTCTTTTTGGGGGGCGCCCCTACTAGCCCCCAGACTCGTCCCTAAGGGCGGGTCCCACAACACATGTCCTCAATCTCTTGGTAGCTCCTTCAGTAAAATGAGTTACTACCTCATACCCTTTATTTCCTATATGAGTATGTATGTAAATGTCCCGACTTTAGGAACGTCCAATTTGAATCCAGTCTAGATGGATAGCTGATAAGAAAAGCATAGTGCTTCAATGTATTTTCTAATGAAATTGAAGGAACATGGGATTTCTAAGATAGTGTTGCGCAAAAGGATATTACTAATTGTAATAAGGGCACCTATGAGGACTTATAGCCTGATCCGAATAACTACCCAATAGGCCAGTTTACTGTACTGAGGTAGCTGGAGATCACTGCATTGCAAAGGAGAGACATGGACATTCGTACAACAGCAACACATTTCGGTCATGCATCAGTTTGCAATTTATTCATGTTGGAAAGTTTATTTTCTTATTGCGCCTCCAAGAGGAATAACCCTATTGCACCTCCTATACAATCAAGACCAAAAACTATAAGCAATATGATATTACTAAATTCACTTCTTAAACTTTTAATCCTCGATCTTTAAGTTGTTAAAACCTTTCTCAAAGATCGTCTCATCTCATTCTTCTTACATCTTCTCCTAATTTACCCTCCCGTTAGCCATGCACAATCATGGCCAAGCCAGAGGGTACGATCATGGTTGGGCAACCTCAAAGAAGTGCTTATCATAGGCTCAAAGACGGAGTTCACAAAGATTTGCCCACAAGGAATAACTGGCCGAAAAGCAGTCATCGAACAAGCCTAAAAAAAGAAGTCTCAACACCCATGTGAGTCGGTTAGCGGTAAGAGATGTAGAGATTATCTTCTACCTTGAGCAAAAAAAGGAAAAGAAGAGCATGCTAAGGGTGACAGAGTTGTTAGTGCTTGTCATGTAATTATGTTATGGGCAGATCAGTTCTATCCTCATTAAAACTTTATAAATGAAAACCAACGAATATGGCAAGACACCCAAGTTTTTGATGAAATACCAAGTCTACTCTATCCCAAGTTCCCTCTTCTCTATTGACACATGGAATGCGAAAACCAAAAATAACATCTGTAAATCATAAAGAATTGGTATTAACATCAGTATGAACTGCTATTTTTTGTAGAGTTACAATTGTGAACTTTTCCCTTTTTCACAACTTTCTACGGATAGATGGGAATTACATATCCTCCGGTAAACTAAAATTTACCAAGATCTACTGGAAACTCATAATACAGTTTATTTCTTTGGCTGAAAAGTATAATTCTAAAGTAAAGACTAAACTACATCATATCCTTAGATGTTAGGTTTGAGTTCATGGCCAATTTATATATTATGGTATATACTAAAGTTAAATGAACAGTTCTTAAGTATAGCAAACCTTTACTAAATTAGTAAGTTATTTTTCCAAATATTCACATGAGCTATTTGTTCACTTGGTTTGAGAACTTAGCTTTAACACATAAGTAGCAAGTTCGATGTCTGCTATTATTTTTATTTTTACATAATTAAAAACCTGTGTGGACCACATACTTTTAGGCTTAAATAAAGAGAATTAAACATATAAACTCAACTTGTAAAATAATTTATTTTTAATTTCACTCACTCCGAAAACAGCTATTTAAGACTAAATTACTCCATGAGCTTTAATAAAATAATATAATAATAAAAGCTCTTTATGACTTTACTCCAATTTTTATGAATAGGACTAAATTACTTCATGAAGTTTAATAAAATAATATAATAACAAAATGATCTATAGTAGAAAGGCTTTTTTGCCTATAAATGCAAAGTTTCACCCCCGCCCCCCTAAAAAAATTTTAAATTCATCTTTTTCCCTTATAAACCTGAAGTCTCACTCTCATTTATTTTCAAAATCTGCCTACTTTCAAAATCCCTCTTAGACCCAAAATATTTCACCTAGCATTTTTGAATCCAATCACTTCCAAAGTAACTATTGTATTCTGGTAGTTTAATATATATCATGAGTTGCGATTTTTTGTTAGAACATGCTAAGTGGTTCGATATACAATACATTTTTTAAACTAAATATTTAAACTACTGTTTTTTCTATTTTTCTTTTTTACACTAATGTCATGGTATTGTAAATTGTGGATGGTTTTTACTTATAAATCCGAAGTTTATTGCCTATATGCCCAAAGTATACTTCCATTTCAATTTTAAAACCCACCATCCTCCAAACATCACTCCTAGTCCAAAAATACTCATCTGAATTAATTTTAAACTCACTTTATATTCAACACTTTGGTATACGGTGTAAGTTACTATATTATACTACAACTTTCTAGATTTTTCTCTAAGTTATTATGTATGCAGCTTATAAACCAAATGCTTAAATTATTTATTTGACCTTTTTCACATGCTAAAGTCGTTGTGGCACTGTAGATGAGCATAGGATCCCCATTTAATTTTATAATCATTTTCCTCTAAAGATGATTTTTATCTATAAGCCTAAGATTTACTCCTATTTACTTTTAAACTCATCCACTTCCAAAATCACTCTTTGAACACCAAATACTCAACAAAATTATTTTTAATTCACTTTGTATTTCAACAACTTCATGTATTTAATATAAATTGTTATATTTTGTTATTACTTGCTATAGTTTTTTTTCCTAAATTAGTATTTAGATGTGTATTTTTAAATCAAACACTTAAACAAAATATTTTTGTTGTTTTCGCGCAAATGCCATGGCATCGTGCGGATCAATTTTACTCCTAATCTTCTAAAACTATCTGAACTAAAGGCCAATTGTGATAGCTCCTAGGACATAATTCCTCTTAAATTTGTACTCTTTCAACATCAATTGCAAACTCGTACCTCTATCTCCCTCTTTGGCCAGAGGGTATATTTTCAATTAAAGATTATAAACTATAAGAAATTTATTCAGTTGCGGCAGGTGTGTGTTCAGATCCAAATATTCCTCAAAACAACAGCAGCATTTATTCATGTTTTTATGGTTCAAGAAAGTGGAGCAGAGCAATACTTCAAGCACAATAAAGTGTACAAGTTATTGTAAATATGCCAAACAAGAAATAACATAATCATAAATGGATTTAAATTTTAACAATCAACGAAGAAGGCTAATCATGCTATGCAGTATGTGTTCCTTTCAACATCATCCTAACAGAAGTAGTTTGTTTGGCATACCAAGTGTTATCCTAAGTGACAATCCAATTTCGAGAATGGGATATGGAAACAAATATTATTAGATTCCAATTCCAGGAATGGGATTTGAAAAGAAAAATATGAACAAGGTGAATAACCAACATCCTATGCAACCTAGCAGTTCTCATATCCAAGAACAAGGTGAATAACCAACATCCTATGCAACATATCAACTCAATTATAGTCCAGAAATGCTTGATTTATTCTCTGGTAGACATTACTGCAATCCATTACACTAGACACTACCATAACCATTACATTCAAGAATTATTAGCAACAATGAAACTGTCAAAAGAATCTCACTTGAATCATGATCCCCCTCAGAACTTACACAAGAACACACCCGGGTCAATTATGTGATCTAATCTTATTCTACACACTCCAAATAAATTATACTGTAACTTAACTGAACCGCATTCCTTATGGGAAATGATAGAATACCCTGTATTTAAAAGTCACAAGCCACTGAAAAACCAGAAATGCATGAGGCATGAAATCTGCTATAATACTTTGCTTGCAGAAAATCACAGAATCTAAAAGATACATGAGAAAATATAGAGAAAAAAAAATCTGAAATACATCAATAAGTGAGGGAAAAGGGATAAGAGAGATGAAAAACCTGACATAATTCTTGTATGTTTTAGATGATGGAGACTCCAATATGTAAAGAAATGGCCCAACAAGACAAATATATCTGCGTTGCCATACAGCTTCCCTATTTCCAACACCCTATAAGAAATGAATGGAAGGAAGGTTAGAGAAAACCATAGCATAATAAAGTAGTATTATCCTCACTGATCACTATCAAAAGCACACATTGAAGTCAAAATGTGTTTGATTCGCATATAAAAAGACAGAATACATTGTTTACCATAAATAAAGCAGAAGGGTATACAAAAGATTCCATCAGTTGAAACACAGTTTACATGATTATATTCATTCTAGAAGTTTTGTCCCAATAAACTCTATGGTATCTTTTACACTAGATAGTAAGTATGAAACTATTTAGTTCACTGATTTGTCCTTGATTTCTGTATGGTCATTTGTTAGTTTTTTTTAATAAATATATGGAATATTACAAGCCTAAACTTCAACAATATTACGAATTATGTCATGAACATATTCAAGGGAATATGTTGTAGCACAGATCAGGAGTGATACAACAAGAAAGCTTTTACTCCAAATTTGTAGGGTCAACTACATAAACTTCAACAATATTATGAAGTTATGCCATGTACATATTCTCTTGAATATGTTGTAGCACAGATCAGCAATGATACAAGTCATACAACAAGACATCTTTCATTTCAAATTTGTGGGGTCGACTACATAAACCCTATTCTTCCATTCAGTTTAGGTAAGTGTTATCTCTGCCACCGAGGAGTCTGCTGATAAAAAATCATATTACTAGATAAATCTACTCTACACTTTTTCCCTCTTATTTATTTGGTAATATTAACTACTAGGCTAAACTATAGAAAATAACTATGAAGATTAATCCGTCACTAAAAATAATTTTCTTATAAATGTAACCCGTATGAATTTTTCAATTAAAAACTACTAAACATTTGTTAATGGGATTTTAAGGTAGTAGTTTTACCCGTTATGGTAATGTGAAGTTATGGTCTAACCCTTGCATTCCTAATTAAAAAAGATTGCAAAAGAACCTTCACTATCCTTCTATGAGAAAAACAAAACAATAAAAAAATTTCAACAGAAACTGCCCCACGCCTTAAACAGCTGGTCGTAAACTATCCTTTTTTCCAAATCAATTAACTTTTTTATTCAAGCTTTCACCAAGGAAAAGAATAAATTCACTTCTCTTAACTCAAATTTAAACAAGAATACCAACATTATCAAACCTGCATCATCGAATTTCAAGCTTCTCTTTTTTCTCTTGATTATTTAATGTTTGGATACAAACAAGTTCTCTAAAGATCACACAGCTTGTTGCACATCAGTTTATCATGCAAAGGAGAAATGTTATTAAGTTTCATACAAAACCTTAAGCATGGGAGAACTGAGTAAAGATGACCTTTTACACTCGCTTTGACAGCAGTTGGTCCCAATTCCTTCATATGAAATTCTAAAGAGTTCCACATGGATTTCTAAAGGATCCGAATTAAGTTAATCTCATGCGATGGTTGGATCACAATGTAGTCGTACTTTATTCCGCTCTCTTTATAGTTGGACATGAATCAAATTATTCAAAGATAATGTTATATTCCCCCCTCCACCCCCACCGACCTACTGAAACCCCACCCCACAAAAAAATTGGTTAGTTTGAGATGTGGGAGACAGAGTTGCTATTATCTTAGATCATGGAATATGCAAAGACAAGTAGTCAAGTTACAACTTGAGGAGGTGAGATAAACAGAAGGGAAGATGGAGAATAGAGGAAAGAAGAACCGAGGAAGAGGGGACGTGATTTAGCTTGTCTAGGCAGATATTGAGTTAGGGTAGGCAAAATGGGACACAGGAGGAAAAAATATAAAACATGGAAGGCTTTTGGTATCCACAATTTATGTTATAATCTGTAGTAATAGTTGGATAAACATATAAGCAAAATATTTATTAACAATCAATCTATAAGTACCCTTATATCCGGTGTTGTAAAAAGCGGGCAATAGCGCCGTGAATAGCAGTCGTGAGGGTTCAGCGCTACGCTTATGGGGTTCGCAGCATGCTTAAGCGGAAAATACCGCTATTCGTTCGAATAGCACGTAATAGCGCGTTTTAGCGCTTAAAAGCGCTTTAACCCGCTAAACCCGCCCCTTTTTTCGTCGCGAACCCGATCCGTACCCATTTTACTTAAACCCTACCCAACTCCCGACTGCTTCTCTCGACTCCCGAACCCTATCATGCCCTAGCCGCCTCTCCCACTCCCGAGTCCTGACCGCTTCTCTGAGTTCTCTCCCACTCCAGACTTCTGACGACGACGACTTCCGACGACGTCGATGCCGTCTCCGGTCAACGACGACTCCGACTCCGACGACTTCCAGCGACCTCCACGGTTCCAGGCTTCTGCGACTTTCGACGACTGTCCTCCCTCTCCGACTATCCTCCCTATCCGACGACGACTTACGACGATGACGACTGTCCTCTCTCAACTCATCTCTCTCTCACCGTCTCACGGTTCCTTCGGCGACTTCCACAAAGATTGTGAGGACTCAACTCAATTTTCTCTCTCTCACTTCCTCCGACGACATCTCCATCTCTCTTTGATAGCGGCTTCGTCTGCAACAGAGAAAAAGATAATCAACTAATTATGATGCTATATTTCTTGATTTTTTTATTATTTAGGTTATTTAAATATATTTATATTTGACCGCTATTTGACTGTACGTTATTTGTCGCTGTTTCGTCGCAATAGCGCGAAATAACCTTAGTGGTACCTCACCGCGATCCGCTATCAGCAACCTTGCTTATATCAAATAGAAAATATGTTATCCTCCCTCATTTTCTCCTACAATGTAATTTTGTTGTTTATATTTTTTAAATCCAGACATGAACAAAATTAGGTAGGAAGTTATGCTTGTGTGTGTGGACAAGTGAGGCGGCAAAACATGAGCAAAGTAAATCCGAAATATATGATGCGTTGAATTTATTACTATGGGATACATGGTTAATGGCTAAACGAATTCTTCTCAAGAGCACCAAAATGTACACTTTTCTTTTGATAAGGACTTTATATAATAACATGTATTTAAAACCATTGCCTTTTAAAGTAGCAACAATGTTAATATTTAATCCAATAATCTCACACTTCCTTGATATATATACCATTTTAATTAAGATCAAAACTTGAAACTTCTAAGGTACATGAAATATAAATTGATGCATGCCAAATGTGCCCAGAGAGCTTGCATGTGCATAGGGCGCATGCCCCCAACCCCAAAAAAAACAAAACATTGTGGTGAATAGCAGCCAATTGATGCTATTGCGGCAATAATAGCCGCAATAAGGCCTCCAGCTACGATTTCATTGTTTGTGTTAGCAAATAGTAGCCAAACCACTATTTGCTCATAATTCTAGCAAAACCCTGAAATAACACTATTTAGCGCTTTTAACCACTAAATAGCGCTTCTAATTAGCCTGGGTTTTAAATACCCTACCCACCCATACCCAAACTCATCCCGGATTTATCCTAAAATCTCTCCACTTCTTTCACTTCTCTCTCTCCCCCTCTCTAATTCGCCGGCAACACAGACAAGGAGGAAAAAAACCCTAACTTCACTTCTGATTCCAACTCTCCACCGCTTCCTCCACTAGCCCCACTATGTTCGTCAACTTCGTCTCTCTCTCTCTCTCTCTCATTAGCAGCCAACACCAAAAAAGGGAAACCCTAACTTTGCTAACTTTCCACCGATTCCAACTCTTCAATGCTCCATTTACCCTAAATCCACCAACGACGCCTCCCTAAGCTAACCGCCAACTCCACTAACAGGTCCTCAACTTCGCCACCTCTATCACCTTCAGATCAGCGCTCGAAAGAGCAGCACCAAGCAGCAGGTAATTTTTGCTTTTTTCTTTTTTTTTCTTTTTTCTTTTGTGATTTAAGATCTAATGATATAAATTGGTAGGCAATTAGTTGCTACTAATCAATGCTTTTCTACTACTAAAAATTTTTCTATAAGAAAATTGATAGTTGAAAAATGGGACAAAATAACTGTCTTTTTGATAAACAACTACGCTTTTTCATTCTGTACAGCATTTTATTTGTTGAGTTATTTAGATACTAAGTGAATTAGTCAATGTTGTAAGGACCTAGTTGTAAGAATGCATTAATATAAAAGAAGGGTCTCTCAATGAGAGAAAGCAACCCTAATATTTTCCCCAAATCTCATCATGGTATCAAAGCCATGTGGCGGCTCCTCTACACCCTCTTGAAGCCATCGGCTTGATCGAAATCAACTCACCTGACGACGACAACGCTCTCACCTGACAACGACGACGCTCCCACCTAACGACGACGACGACGATCGGACTTGAAGAGAGAGGAAGTGAGGGACGATCGGGGTTGGCAGTCAACGACGACGACGATCTGAAGCCATCGAGTCCTCTCTGATGCCGTCGAGTCCACTAGTTCTGTAGCAGTCGCTGCCGTCGTTAGGGCTGATGAACCCGAAGCCCTTGGGTTTGAGATCGAGTAGAAGCGGCGGAGAAAACCCTAGTTCTAGGGTTTGAGAGAGACAGAGGAGGAGAGAGGAAGAGAGAGACCTTGAAGGAGAGAGAGTGAGGCGCGAAGGCCAAGGCGTCGCCCTCGGCCTCGGAGAAGAGGCGGAGGAAGGGGAAGGAGGAGTCGAGATCGACGAGATTGTGAGCGTGAGCGTCGATCGCCTTCACGTTGAAGATCGCCTCTCTCAGCTCGCTGTACTCCGCCATTAATCTCTCTCAAGAAATTTCAAGGGTTTTTGTTGAGTTTGACTACGATGAAGCGATGAAGCACTATAGAGGTTAGACCAAGGCTTGTTTATGTTAGACGACAAAAGACGGCACGTTGAAGATATTGTGCATTTAGGAAGTTATCCGATGATCATTCTTGGTATTTATTTATTTTTTTTTTCACTTGGGCTTTTTCAATATTAGTTTATTAAATCTTTCATGTTCCGAAATTAGTTCGTTACTCGTTGGATCTACAACTGGGTCCCTCGATTCTTGAGTTATTTTGTTTGAGATTACGGTTCTTGATTTGTGTTCTTGATTTGTAATAGTTTATTTAGTTTCCCTCGACAAGTCAGTCCTAGAACTGATGAGAGAAGAGCTGATATCTCACTTTGTTGAGATATCTTGCTTCTGGTTCTTGTTTCCTTGGTGAAACAGGAATTCTTGTTGATCCATCTATCTTGTTGTACTGTCGAAGTGCTGCCGGATTTTTTTCGTTGCGCACCACAAGAATACAAGTTGGATCGATGACAAAGACTGGAAAAAATCCGATGGAGGAGATCATCAAGAAGTTGAATAACCTGAGGGTATTCCAGATCGAGAAGGAGATCAGCGCTATAGTCCAGGGAGAGAGGACTGTACAGGAGTACGCCACAGAGCTGAAGCGCTTGTGGCTCGATCACGATTACTTCTCGCCCCTAGCGAGCTGCAAGGACCCTTGCAGAAGAGGACCATGGTGTTTCTCCGAGGCTTGGCTCCAGCGTATGAGCAGAGGACGACGTTGCTACTAACCCAGACGAAGATTCCACCACTGGAGAAGGCAGTCTCGGCCATGATACAGGAGGAGAGCCGTATCAGGCTACAGTCTGGGATAGGTGGACTTACAGGGGAGAAGTCTGTACTAGTGGTATCCAACCCGGATAACACTGGATTCAAAGGGGAGACTAGGCAGTGCTTCAACTGCGGAGAGGTAGGGCATCTGAGACAGATGTGCCCTAAGCCACCCAGAGAAAGGAACTGGAGTGAACGTGGTCAGACTGGTGGCCGTGCAGGTCGAGGAGGCAGGGGGCGTGTAGGCCAAGGAGTTGTTCACCTAGCTGTGGCAGATGAGTCTCAGACTACTGCTGGGATGACTGGAGCTGAAATAACAGAGCTGGAGGAACTACGTCTGTTCAAGCTTCAGGCTGAGAGTTCGAAGGGCAAGGGACAAGTCACCCAGGATCTGGCTACCACTACATGCTTTGGTAACTTTATTGGTTATGCTCATGCGAACAAAGGTACACAGGTTCAGGCACTTGCATCCACTAAAACTCATGTTGATTGGATCATAGACTCAGGTGCATCTAGGCATGTCACAGGAGCATCTAGTGAGTTTGCATTATATTATCCGAGTAAGCATATGCATCCTGAGACAGTTCAGACTGCTGATGGGACATCCCAACCCATCAGGGGTACTGGCTCGGTCCATTGCACTTCATCTGTTACCTTGTCATCAGTATTGCATGTTCCTTCGTTTCCAGTTAACTTACTCTCAGTTAGCTCTCTCATTGATCAATTAAATTGCACCGTGTTATTTGATCGAGATTTGTGTGTCTTTCAAGAGAAGGAAACGGGGAGGAGGATTGGGACTGGTATCAGACGTGATGGTCTTTGGTATTTGGACAGGGAGACAACAATGATTGCTGCTGCTGTTAGCGGAGGGCCAGAGGCAGAAGCGATGCTTCAACATTGCCGGTTAGGGCATTTATCCTTTGAGAGTTTAAATAGATTAGAACCTGAGTTAATGAAGAAAGTGGATAGAAAAGAGTTATTTTGTAATGCATGTGAACTTGGAAAACATACTCGTTCTACTTATAAAATGATTGGTCTTCGAAGTTTTGAACCATTTGCACTTGTCCATTCTGATGTTTGGGGACCATGTCCTACTACCTCTATCAGTGGTTTTAGATGGTTTGTTACTTTCATTGATTGCTATTCACGTATGGTCTGGATATACATGATGAAACAGAAATCTGAGGTTTACAAATGTTTTCAAGATTTCTCGGCTTATGTGAAGACACAGTTTGGAGTGCAGGTGAAGATTCTTCGAACAGATAATGGGACTGAGTATGTCAATAAGGAGTTTGCAGCTTTCATCTCTAATCAGGGAATTGTTCATCAAACCACCTGCCCAGACACCCCTGCTCAGAATGGGGTGGCTGAGCGTAAGAACAGGCATCTACTGAAAGTGACACGCTCATTGATGTTGACAATGAATGTGCCTAAGTTTTTATGGAGTGAGGCTGTTATGACAGCAGCTTATTTGATCAACAGGATGTCATCAAGAGTATTAGGAATGAAGACACCATGTGAGATGCTTTTGGGCTCGAATGTTTTTGTTGTTCCACCAAGAGTGTTTGGATGCACATGTTATGTGAGAGATCACAGGTTGATGGTGAGTAAACTGGATCCGCAAGCAGTTAAATTATCTTTGTTGGCTACTCATCAAATCAAAAAGGATACAAGTGTTGGTGTCCCACTGAAAGAAGGCTGTTTGTCAGTATGGATGTGACTTTTCGGGAGTTTGAACCTTTTTATGGGGAGAAGACGGAGTAGAGTTCCTTGTTTGGAGATGGCTCTACTGATGCTAGTAGAGAGGGGGACAATGAGAATGAGAATGATATTGTGGTCGGGATGATTCCATGTCCTCTTGAGTCACCGAGTAGTGATGGTACATCGCCGAATAGTGGTGGTGACTTAGGAGTTAGTAGTCAAAGTCAGGGGGAGCTGAGAGTATACACAAGGAGACAGAAACAGCAGCATGAGCCGCCTCCCGTGCCTGTGTCAGTACCCACAAATGTTGATGACCCAAGTCCCTCCTCTCCAGTGCCTTCCTCTTCCTCTCCAGTGCCTTGCTCTTCTCCTCCACCTGAGTCGATAGGTAACGATTCCTTCCCTGATACCTCTGATACTCCTGTCTTGCCCCGCAGAACCTCTAGAGTCAATGCTGGAAAACCTCCAGCTAAGTTTGATAATTGGGATACTGATATTGCGAATTACATTTCATATGCATCCATTCCACCTGCATATAAGTCATTCATTGCATCGTTGCATTCAGTGCTTGTACCTAACAACTGGCAGGTAGCTAAGCAAGATCCTAGGTGGTTGAATGTCATGCACGAGGAACTCCAGGCCTTGAAGAAGAATGACACATGGGAGTTGGTACCTTTGCCAGCTGGGAAGCGTGCTGTTGGATGTAAGTGGGTGTATACGGTTAAGCAAACTCCAGAGGGCAAGATTGACAGATACAATGCCAGATTGGTTGCTAAAGGCTACAGCCAAACATACGACATTGACTATGACGAGACATTTGCTCCAGTAGCAAAGATGAGTACTGTTAGAGTGTTGGTGTCATGTGCTGCCAACTTTAATTGGCCACTACATCAGCTAGATGTCAAGAATGCATTTTTGCATGGAGATCTTGTTTTACAGGCACTCCAAAACTCGTATCACTATCCTGGCGGTCTATGTTGATGATATTGTAATCACTGGAGATGACGCTGAGGAAATCCTACTGTTAAAGAAGAAATTGGGAGAGGAATTTGAAGTTAAAGATCTGGGGCAGTTGAAGTACTTTCTCGGAATTGAAATTGCAAGGTCGCGAAAGGGTATAGTGCTTTCTCAGCGGAAGTATGCTCCGGATCTTCTCTCAGAGACAGGGATGTTGGGGTGCAGAGTTGCATCTACTCCTATTGAGCAGAATAATAAGATGAGTGCCGAGGGTGGGGACCCTGTGAGTAAAGAGCAATATCAAAGATTGGTTGGACGACTTATATATGTATGCCATACGAGACCTGATATTACTCATGCAGTGAGTATGGTGAGTAGATATATGCATGATCCCAGAGAGCAGCATATGAAGGCAGTTCGCAGAATTCTTAGATATATTAAAGGAAGCCCAGGAAAGGGGTTATGGTTTAGGAGTTTTGGACATCTGAGAATTGAAGGCTATTGTGATGCTGATTGGGCGGGTTGTATGGATGATCGTAGATCCACTACAGGCTACTGTGTATTTGTTGGAGGCAATCTCGTATCTTGGCGTAGCAAGAAGCAAGATGTGGTGGCCAGGTCTACAGCTGAGGCCGAGTACAGAGCAAATCGGCAATTAATATTGCAAATAATCCAGTTCAGCATGATCGCACCAAACATGTGGAGATTGATCGGTTCTTTATCAAGGAGCAACTGAATAGAGGAGTTCTGATTTTTGAGCTATGTGAAATCAGAAGAGCAGTTAGCTGATTGTTTAACAAAAGGATTAGGTTCTAGAGAGCATAATATCTTTTGTAACAAGATGGGGATGATTGATATCTATCGCCCATCTTGAGGGGGAGTGTTGAGTTATTTAGATACTAAGTGAATTAGTCAATGTTGTAAGGACCTAGTTGTAAGAATGCATTAATATAAAAGAATGGTCTCTCAATGAGAGAAAGCAACCCTAATATTTTCCCCAAATCTCATCATTATTAATATTATATAATTGTTGCACATCTATTTTATGCTTAGGATCTCTACAAATCATCAAACTTTTAGATATTTTTTTAATTTTTCTTCCTTTTCTTTGAATATTTACACATTTAAATTGGACCGTTACTTGACTTTGGGCTTTTGCCGTTATAGTCACAAATAGCCTTACCGGTACCCCATCACTCATGCTATCCACTATTGATAACCTTGCACACACATGGAACATGCACCATAAATATAAATCATGCACCGCATGCCAAATGTGTCCACACATGGGAAGAGGGGAACAGAGAGCGAGGGGGGAGAGAGCGAGGGGGGAAGAGAGAGACCTTCCATGTAAGTAGAGACAACCACCCTTCAAAATCAGCTTGACTCCAAGGTTGAAGCACATCTGAACTTGTGCTATCTTCATCTTGAAATATCTTGGCAACTTGAAGTAACCGATGGTACCGAGCTGGGGAGAAATGAAAACCCAACGATGGCAGCCGTAACGCAATTCTAGTTGATGGATATCGAGGATTTTCTGATTGGATCTAGAAACAAAAATAAGAATACAATAAGAACAGTACACCATAGGGAAATGATATAAAGAAACAATGCTAACAGATGGAAACCTGTTGAAATTTTAGAGCAATTCCACACTTCTCAATAACAGGAAAGAAATTAGAATAACTTAGTTCCTTAGACGCCTTCTCAGGAGGTGTTGTATTCCAGTGATAATCACCATCAACTAAGAAAGCAGATACATCACTCAAGACGAAATTGAACTGCAAGTACATATCTCTCTCTTCAGCAGAATCAGAGTTCCAGTAATCCTGAGATTATGAAATATGTCAACTGTGAATTTTAAATAAGTCTCACAGATCTACTCAATGATAGGATATCCAAGATAACCTGTGTGCATAGCATCAAGTTTCCCAAATCAAGTAACAGTCTTGTCGCATGAGAGTTGTCTGGGCAAAATTTGGTGGGAATAGTGACTTTAGGAGCTGCAATATCCAGGTCCAGAAGGAACCTGCCAGCATGTATTAGTATAGGAGTTAAATCTTTCATCAATCGCATCAATCTAAGACCCGTGAGGAACGGGATAGCAAACATGTAGATAAAACGAATGCAAACAGGCTAAAACAGTTTGCAAGAGATTAAAGGGTATATATCTAAAACAAATGTAATTTGTACTTCAACAGCGCAACTAAGAATAAACAAATAAATGAACCTAATCCAGATTCCACATAAAACATGGCTGCTTAAATTTCAAAAGAAAATTAAGGGCATCAACAATTCAGCATGAATGTTTTTTCAAGCAATTAAATAAATAAAGAGCAAACATACAGAACATAAATTATATGACGTGATTAGCTATTTGCATTCAGATAAAAACATACACATGCTTACAGGTCTTTAGGTGTCTACAAGGTCCCAGATATTAGTTGTTAATTCCAGGCTACAGGCAAACATACTCCCGTGCTCAACATACAGTAAAATTATGCATCCTAATATCCTAATAAAAATTTGATAATAACTGGCAAGGCACACATTTCAATGCCTTCGATGTCCCTGGAAAACCAGCAGAGTTTCTTTTTCTCCTTCAGTATAGGTGTTTTATAATACAAATAAAGAAATAACAGTAGTAGTAGTGGCACCAATAAGCTAGGAGGAAGAGTGGAACGTACTCATATAACTGGTAATGACAGTACAAGTTGCCTCAAACTAATTTTGAGGTATAGAACCTCGACTACATTTGCACAAGTATGGAGTATTTATCCTAAATAATACAGCAGGAAAACCCTAAATTTCAAAATGCAAATACGCCGCTGATAGCCACTGAAAATTTATATAAATTGAAGATCAAAAGACGATCATAGTCTGTAGTGAAATGGAAACATCCACAACTCGAATGGTATTGTGGAGTTCCCAGCCATACCCATACATTAGATTTTAGCTTCATACTCCACAAACATCCCTTATAAACCTTAAATTTGTACGGGCCATATTAAACATTTCTGGATGTCACAGGAAAGCCCAGCAAGTATCAATCAATTCTCCTTGATTTAAGTATCAGATATGTAGTGTTTATGGGTGCATCTCCTTTCACTGAGGTATCATTGCAATATAAGTCTAGAACCAATAGTATGAGTTGTATGATTAGTACAAAAAAAAGTTCTAATCTCATAACCAATTACTAGAGGTTAGCTTCCTAATCAAGCTTCAAATAGTTCTTGTACTTTCATATTATAAATATTATCTCACTTTTAATTAATGAGGTATAAATCATGATAAAACAGTGTGATTCATACACACCTCCTCATTAACAATTTGCTAATTGAAGGGTAAATGGCTTCTCACGTCAAGTAGAAGATTATATTGTTTCTCACTTTAAAAAGAAAAATACACTAATTCTCACTACTGATTCTCACTTTCAATAACTCAGGAGGATGACTTTTTGGTCTCTACACGAGGCATCATAAAAGACGAGCACATTAGAAAGCAATAAAGAGCTTGGTTGTCTTTTTGCACTTCAAACGCAAAAAAAAAATATCAATAAGCTCCAATTCTCTATCTTATTGAACCATTTTCAATGGGAGGTGAGTGTGTGCGCGCGCGCGTGTTTTTGCGCGCGCGTCTGTACCCGCAAAATATTTATAAACAGGACAGCCTCAACTATCAGATAATAGTTTCATGTAGCTCGTAATACATCAACTAGAAAAGTTGAAGAAGTCCATCAATTGTCATGAAAACATGAGATTTAAACAAACCTGGATTGATCCTTTAAGGCCCTGGTAACTTGCTGTTGAGCAGTGCGTTTGACCCCATCAATTGTCATCTACATGTTGGACAGAAGGGCCATCCACCACTCAATACGTGACAAAGAAAGGGAGAAACTACAAACTGAACTAAGTGATAATGCAATACCTGCACAGCAGCTGCAGTCTCCAAAGCTAAGGTCTGGCTTATAGTTGTATTGCTTTTGAAGAAAGTAACAATTTCGTCAATCGACTCCTTTAAGTACTGTAAATCACGTGTTATTACATTATATGGTCATCAAACTATCAAATGAGCATCTAAACTGAATTCATGATATTTAAAATGGAAACACTTTAACATACAATCATATAACATGGAGAAGCTTTAGCAACAAAACTCCAATCCACTTGAGTATTAAAAGGCTTGTAGGAAAAGGTCCCAGCTAAAGAATCAGTAACAGTCGCACTCTGCAGAAAGATAAAGTGGAAAGATAAACTCTGTGAGATGATAAATGAAATTACGCAGGATGCGATTTCATCTACATTACAGAACATGAAACATTCAAACCTCAGCAAGAAGACCATATCGTGATGACAACCTATAGGATTCCAACTTCAGGTCAAACACCATTGCCTCTGAATAAGTTTTAAAGGAACAAAGCAATCCTTCACTTGATAAATCCGCAAGATACTCCTGACCCTCGTTAATAATTTTTGATGCATTATGTTTCATGTGGATTTCCAAAAAGAGATGAGGAAGATCTGCTTCATTTTGAGTGTCCAGCGAGAACTCATCAGAACCCTCCTTATAACCAATAATTTTATTTAATCGGTCCCAGTCCTGCTCAGAGAATCCCCTAGCTTCATTTCCAGTACTGCTAGACCCAGACCTGGAAGACGGCCCATGTAAATATAACAAACAAATGTAATTGGATTTGTAATAAATACAGAATAAGTTGAGAAAATGACCATCCAAGAGACCACCAAGACTGCTTAGGTTTCTGTTTATTCAAATAAACATCAGAATCTGCCGACTGAGCCACAAACTTGTGCGCCAACATCCTGTATATACAACTAGAACTGATTAATAAAGAACAACAAAACTATGTCCCTACCAACCTAGTCTGCAGACTCCAGCAAAATATAAATGAATGTAAAACTTAGCTAGCTTCCATCTTAACAATTTCAGCCTACCAAGTAGATCAGAGCCTGCAGTAACTACTATATAAAAATACTTGATCATTATTAGGATGCAATTTATGCTTGTTACCTCCACTGAAGAATAATCTCAATATCAAGCTCCATATCGATTTTCTCTATTTCCTTGTTATTCTCCACTAAAGATAGGTTCATGTCGGATTTCAAGAGGGAAGCATAAAGTGACACATATCTCTTTCGAAGCGTTGCATACCTCAAAACCTGCTCCCAAGAAAGTTTACCGCTGCAACAAAGCAATACAACTTTAGAATCAAAACATTGTAATAGGAAAAGAATATTGGTTATTTATTACTAACAGTAGATGGCTTGATATTAAAAATAATTAGAAAAATAACAGCATAGGAGACAGTTACAATGATGTACCAAAAAATAGATTTTCTTCAACTGAAGCCTCTAGAAACTAGGCAGTGTACAATATGTAAATGAACCAAATCTAAAAGAATTTTCTGAAAAGAAGAAAAATTCAGACAGCTAGAGAAACCCAAAGATAAAATCCACTGACATTAGTCAAGGATGTCATCATTTAGGGATAATAATACGCAAGATAATTCAATATAATCGTAGCTGATCACATAATGTTGAGAACTACAACACCGTGCAAATCAATGTTAAAAAAACAGAAGCACAAGCATAAGCGTTAAAGATTCTTTCATAAAGTGAAGCACAAGCCTCATTTAATCAACATTAAATTCTAAAGTTCATGAATATTATAGGTATATAATATTATAATATATAGTGCTAACATAACTTACAGATAGATACCTTTCAGTCTTGGACAGTGAATAACAAAAAATAAGCTTATCATCTACAAAAGTTACATACTACAACAAACGCAGCTACATATATAAGACATCCACGATCTATCTACCCGACATACCGCTACATTTCCATATGGAAGAAATTTTCTATTTAAACTCATTCCTATTTTTATTCTTAAAAATCGACCCTATTCAAACTTTTTTACAAAAATCGGCCAACTTTCTCGTCACGTCAGCATTGTGACGAAAAAGTAGATCGATTTTTTTTAATCCCGATCCTAAATAGTCGGGGTTGGCAACCCCGACTATTTAGGACATCGCCCGCAATTAAGAAGCTAAATTAGTCGGGGTTCGAAACCCCGACTTATTTAGTCAGGTTAAATTGGTTGGGGTTAGGAACCCCGGCCATTTCCAAATGGCTAATTCGAAATGGTCGGGTTTCCCAAACCCGACCATTTAGCAGAGACTCGCGCGGGAAAGTTGGGGGAAGCTGAAAATTGGCTAAGTGTCAAAATAGTCGGGGTTGCCAACCACGACTACTTATTCTGGGTCCCGCACCCTAATACAAACCAGCCGAATTCTTTCTCCTGTTGCCAACCACGACTACTTATTCTGGGTCCCGCACCCTAATACAAACCAGCCGAATTCTTTCTCCTCTAAACCTCTCTCTCCCAGTCGCCTCTCTCTTTTCCAACTCCGTCATTCTCTTGCACTACAGCCACCAATCTTTAATTTCACCCCATTTGGCGGCTGAAATTTGAATCGGAAGTTTGCGCAAGATCTCTAGATAATTTCTCTTCCTTCTCTCCTCTTTTAACATGTAGAAATCTAGGGTTTTCTCTCAAAAACGAATTTCTAGGGTTTTCTCTCTAGGTAGTTCAGAAGCTTTGTATGATGAATGTTATTGCTGAAATTAAACTTTTAGGGCATAGAATGCTCAATTCTAGGGTTTAGGATTTTTAATTTGGGGATTAGGATTTTTGGTCAAAATTATATGAGATGGTTTGCATATAGGGTTTTCCTCTCTTATTTGATGCCTGGTAATATTTTTTAAATTTTTTGCATTTAAATAATATAATTTTCTTTTGCATAGGTTGAACAATATGATTTTTATTGCTTGCTCTTATGATGAAAAAATTAATTATGGAATGAATAATATGCTAACGTACATCGGAGGGGTAACGACGCTGTTAATGATCTCCGAATCATATAGTTACTGTGACCTAGTTAATGAATTGCACCAAGTTACGACAATTGACCCACGAGAGTACCGACTAAAAATAATAAGCAATTGGCCCATAATTTTTAATAGAACGTCCGCAGATGAGATCTCAAACGATCATCATATGAGCATTATATTTAATTTGAGCAAGTCGAAACCTACGAGAGAATTGTTTATTAAAAAGTTGTCACATAGTGTGTGTCAAATATTCAACCCTCCAGGAGAATTCTCATGTATGTTAGATTTGGGAGTTGAGTCTGATAATTTTCTTTCTTCTTCGATTAAAATGGAGCGGACTCAATTTCAATATCACAGTGGTGCACCTTCATTCGATGGACCGTCAAGTATCATGAACAATGAAGTCCTTTATGAAAATATGAGGCCGTTAAGAGGGGCAACAGTTAAAGAGAATGAAAGAAGCAACGTCTCTGAAGGTGAAGATGAAGATAGTACACCAATTGATAGCATGCTATTTATGAGTGAAGATGTTGAAAAGAATCCGGATTGGCCTGATGAGGCTTATGTTAATAATGAATATGTTGAGTATGAAGAATCACCCCCCGACTAGTTTGAAGATGATGAGTGGATTCGTTCTTCCAAAGTATAAGATATGCGCATTGGCAAAAGTTCAACTCATAGAGGAGATGATGACGTCCCTTTCAGAGTTGATAATTTGTTCGAGACTAAGGACCAATTGATTGATGCTATTCGTGATTACTCAATCAAAAAATTGGTCAAATTCAAGCAAATTAAAAGCAATCGCACAAGTTATGAGGCAATCTGTTTTATAAATACACAAAGAAAATGTCGGGCCGAGGGAAATAAAACTGATTACGCATGTCCTTAGAAGTTATATGCATTTGCCGGAAAGAAACATAATGGGTATTTTAGGATCACAGAATACTGCAGTGTTCACACATGTAGCAATCCAATTTTCGAGCAAGATCACAGTGGTGCTTCTGCCTCTTACATAGCGTGGTTGATTATGCCAAAATTAAAGAAGCTTGAACTAAGGCCCGATAACATAATTGAGAGTGCTAGATAGGAAGTTCATTGAAATATCGTATAGTAAAGCGTGGAATGCAAGGAAAATTGTTATGACAAAAATATTTGGTGATTGGGAGAAGTCATAAGCGACACTATCTTAATATCTTGATGCGATAAAAAGAAGCAATCCTGGATCTGAATACAAACTCATAACCCAAAAGATCAATCCGGGAGTTGTAAATATTTGTTAAATTTTAATATACTTGATAGGATGTTTATGTTTGAAATTGAATGTTACGTATCCGACTGATCAGTGTTTTCAATGCGGGAGGCACAATGCGGGACGCAAAGTCAGTTTACGCGCACATGCGCAAGGCGCAATGCAATGCGCGCGCCCGAGCGAAGCGAGGCGCACTCCAGAGTGAAGACATCTACACCAAAATAATTATGACTGATATGTAATTATGTATTAATAAGAAGCAATCAATTAGTTCGTAAATCTCTCTTTGTAAGTTAGTTAGCATTTCAACGGTCATATGCACATTTATGAGTTACTAAAAAGTAGAAATAATTAATTGAAAAAGATTGCACATCAAATACAATTAATTTTTTCATTGTTAAAGTAGCCACAGTAAAATAGCTACATTAAATAGAGTAAATAGCTAAAATATAGTTACTTTTTACTTAATTCATATATTTACACCAAGTTACAACCTACATAGTACATACAATAATTTTTTAACTGTTAATATATTATGTATGCTACAGTTGTTTTTACTGTTGAAAATTAAAATAGCTACAGTAAAGAAGAAGAAAAAGAAAAAAGTCCATTCCAACTTGATATACCTACAGGAAATGAAGGCTAGAGGAAAAAAAATGAAAAAACAAAGAACTACAGTAAAAGAACCTTCTCATTGAGGATTGAGGAGAAATAAAAAGCTGGAAAACGAAAGAAAAAACAAAGAGAAAGGAGAAAAGAAAAAAACTCGAAAACGAAATCACTTACCTTGCGCTGCCGGTCGCCGTCGCCCGTCGTCATCGTCGCCTCCTGCTGCCAAGTGGAGACGAGTTGGAGCGCTATCGGAGGAAAGGTAAGTGAATCTAGAACCCTAGCTTGATTTTGTTTTTCTTTTGCCCTTTTTTATTTCGGTTTTAAGTTTGGAAAGCGGGTTTGTACCCGAACCCTACTGTTTGCGGTCCTGGAAATGGGGCACTCGCTTTGCGCCTTGCGTCAAGCAGTGCAGAGCGCTCCCCAGGCACGCGCCCGACGCAAGCGTAGCGCCCCGTACCTGATGTGGGGCGCTGTGCTGTTGCGCCGAAGCGCCCCGCGCCCGAAGCGCGCGGCTCTAAGTGCCTTTAAAATCACTGCGACTGATTATGGATTTTTAGTAAGTGAATAGAATTTGGAGGTGCAATTGATTATGGATTGGTATGTGTTTATTTGTGTTTGAAAAGATGTCTTTATTTGTGTTTGCGACTGCATTGTGGATTGATAAATATGTACCAAGAGTTTGTGTTAACTTGTGGATTGATATGTATTAGCAGGAGTGAGATTTTCTAGCTGAGTGTGGGCTAGAGGATCTCTGCTAAATGGTCAATGTTGGAAACCCTGACCATTTCGAATTAGGCATTTGAAATGGCCGGGGTTCCTATCTTTGACCAATTTAAACAAGCGCTAAATTAGTCGGGGTTTCGAACCCCGACTAATTTAGCTTGCAAATTGTCAGCGGCGTCCAAAATAGTTGGGGTTGCCAACCCCGACTAATTAGGATCGCGTTTAAAAAAAATCAACCCACTTTCTGGCCACGATGCTGACGTGGCGAGAAAGTGAGTTGATTTTTGTAATAAAGTTTGAATAGAGTCGACTTTAAAAAAAATTGTAAATGGGTTTATTTAGAAAATTTCTTCTTTCCATATGAAGATACTAGTCAGAAATGATCAGTAAACACTTGACTGAGCTGAGTTACAATATTGACTCAAGAGTCAAGAGCACACATAAAATATGAACAAGGAATAAACATCACAAAAGAGATCAGTTGCTGAAGATGAATAAAATCCATTTCCACAAAAAAAAAAATCAACCTAAAGCTCAGAATTGTTGAAGAACAAGTTGAATCAGTAGCCAAATAAAAAGAATGTTTGCCAGGACACACAAAAAAAGTAAACCTATGACAAGATTAGATAAGATGATTGTTTTTTTTTTTTTGGTAAATCAATAGAAGACAGCAGGGTAATCCTTGAGGATAAGGAAAAATA